AACTAAAAATTAAAATCAAAACCATACTAATTTTAACACTCATATCATTTAAAATTTTTAATTAGACAATAACATTAATGTTAATTTTTTTACTTAAATTAATATCTAAAATGTGTTTTGGGCCAAAAATTTTTTTTTAAAATGTATAATAAATATACTTTAACATATATACACACAAATTATAAAATCTCTCTTTTTTTTTCTTTTTTTTGTTTAATTCCAACCAAGGATAACAAAGGACAAAAATTACACCCCTACCGCCAATTACTTAAGTTAACTCAATAGTTATTTTCTTCTACTGGAAATAAAAAGCCCTAAATTCGAATCGCATGGCTTGTGAGTGAAATAGGATAAAAGATAAGAGATAATTATCTCTTATTGTGCAACCACCAAAAAAAAAAAAAAAACACTCCTATCGTATTACCATGGACAGAGAGCAAAACCATTCTAAATTTCCTCCACAGTCAACTATAAAATTATTACTTAAAATAGAGATCTTACATGGGTTTCATAACCATTTTTAGAAAAACAATCAGTAACATATACCAAAGCCCCTTAGGTCATATGCAAATACCTACCCAGTAGAGCATATTCGGTTAAAAAAATTATCCAAAGGATATAACACCCCAAAAAGAAAACAATTCATATGAATAGCCAAATGAGTTAAACAATCATGAGAAATAATACATACATTCATTTAATAATAACTTTCAGTATTATACACAAGGCATCACTCGGGTGATTGGCATCAACGAGAAACTTCATGTACACACAAATTGGAAGAGATGAAATCAGCTGAACAAAGTTTTGGAACAATGAAGGAAATGATTCGACACAGGCCAATAGAAGTTATTGATAATCAAAACCTCAACAAAGTAATACTACTTAAGATCCATACGAGATTGAACTGCATTCAGATCAATGAGCACTCACAAGGAAGGGATGCTGACAGACCCCGCACTCAATGGTCTCTGAGCCTGAGCTGGGAACTTGAACCTGTTAAAAATGCTCATATAAGTAAAACTGCAGTTACTACTTACAAGCAACAATGTGAATATACTAGAATCGAATGTCAAACCTGTAAATGAACAGTGCAGATGGGACAAGCAACTTCCTTCATCCGTCTCCCAGATCCATCAGACTTGGAACCTGAGAAAGTAGAGCATTAGAGTAACTGGATGCTTTCTGACCATTTGGTGATTGGTGGTGGCCAACCCAATGTTCCTATTATTTGAGGTGGAACTTGGAAGCAAAACAAATCTCTTTAATAAATTCTTAGAGCAATAATACACGCATCTCTGATTTTATGGAACTGTTTCAACCTATTAAAGAGTACACCTTAAAAGGATGCTTGAGTCACCAAATGTTACCTGAAGATGCTCTGCGATTCCTTTCCATCTCCTCCTGTCATAAATAATCACCATCAGAGAAGTTGCAAAAGTAACACAGAAACTAACAACAATGTAAAACGCACTAACATGTATGTTTCAAGACAATAGTTACCTGAAGCTTCTTCGCAAGATCCTCATGACTTTGCAAACCTGCAGGTTTACTTGCTGCTTCTTTAGCATTACTCAACCTCTGTGTCACTTCAGCCTACAAATGAGATGAAATCATGAGTACTAGACCTCCATGTATTGACAATTGAGTTAGGACCACACTGATTAAAATTTTCAAATACAATGTCTTGCTTCCTTAGCATTAGCACTAATGAGTCCCAACACATGACACACACAGTATATGCTCATCATACCATCAAATTAAAACTCTTAATTAGACGAGTTAAAACAAGAACCCTGTTTAATTACTGCTCCAGCTCCTTAGCCTTACTGTCATGCTAATAGGCTTCACCCACTAACCAGAAAGCATGCAGCAAAAACAATCTATCTTGAAGACTTATTGCATAGAAGAGAAGGTGAATTACCATGCACCGGTCACAAACTCTAACTGGCTGAGCACTCTCATCTGCAGTGAGAGCGATTCTACCATGGGTACACTTGTCACAGAAAATATCACCACAGTTCCGGCAATGATGCTGAACAGAGAAAGTAAAGAGGGATTGGGTTTGACAAGAAAAGATGAAAAGCAGGAAACTCCATTTATAAAGCATAGGGGGAAGAATTTACCTTACGTACAAAAGCCCCAAAATCTGTCCCACATGATGTACACTTTGAAACAGCTTCATCAGGGACCTAAGAAAATCAACAATAAATAAGCAAAATTCTAGCCTCTAAGAACATTAGTAATATATATATATATAGAGAGAGAGAGAGAGAGAGAGAATGGTTTAAAGTAGAGAGTTTTAACTGCTAACACCAAAAAAAGAAACAAAAAAGCTTTAACTAACCCAATGATCTTTCTCTTCATTGGCAGGCTTCATCAAATTCATCCAATCAGCAAATCCTTTCCTCCTTTCACCAGGCTGTTCAGCTGTCTTTACAGTTTCAGAAGGCCGGATCCTGCTACCCATCTCCTTGATCTGCAACAATAAATGGGAAAATGAATGCAGCACAAAGGATCTATGCCCCACAATGACCAAAGAACTTGATATGAGAATTAAGAAACATTTGAAAATCAAGGTAAAAGCAAGACAAAACTTTCTAAAGCAAACAAAAGGGTTATTTAGGCATTTAAGTAGGGTACATCCATCCACATGTAAATGCAACAGCATCAATAATAGAAAGAAGCCTAATGTGATGGTTTCTTAATGATGGATATAAACTGCTATCTCTTACATGTCATCTAAAGACACCAAAGTTACTTCCCAGACCAATTTCAGTTTTTTTTTTTTTTTTTTTTTTTTAACTAGGGTAATTGGATACGAGAGGGGGAAATTGGGACAAAAGAGTCAAAACTCCGATTGTGTGGGTGGAA